CAAAGGGCCGGGGGAAATCACAAGGTGAACATATGGATCTTTTCTGGTGGGATATATCTGTAGTTGATGGGGGTTGTAGACTATAGACCAATTGTTGATTTGGTAGATAGTGATAAAGATTGATAGTAATTTGCGTAGATCCATGGCGGAGAATCATTATTTTGGCACCAAACCCCAATTTTCATGGTCAAAGACAATCCTATTTCAAAATGATGTCAATGAACATGTTGAAAATGATCTGTCATTGAAATAGTTGATGATGTAGACAACATTTCTTGAATTTCATACACTACCGTAGATGGACGAAATATTCAAACCTTTGCTACCCAACACAACCCCCTTGCCCCCAAAGTTCAATGTTAATGTAGCTTGAGGTGCATGGGCCCCACTCAAGGGCTGCCTCATCTTCTTGGAAGTAGGCAGCATCCGCATCAAAGCTGTCATCGGCCCAGCTTTCATCGTAGGCCTCAGTCTCATATTGGTCATCATACTCATAGTATCCATCCTCACAGATGTCTGAATCATCAAAATTTTCATCATCATGAGCAGCAAAAGCTTTTCCACGTTGAAAGCAGTTGTTGGCAAATGGTCGCCGGTCCTGGGAAACTGCTGATTTGTAATCTTGCCCCAAAATGACAAACAAGGCTTCCTGAACACGCAGCTTTTCGAGTTTTGGGGCTTGAGTCAAAACAAGTTGATTCTGTTCCTTTGTGAGGTTTGCACGGCGAAGCAACAACCATCCTTGAACTTGGTCTGGAAGCTAGATGCCGTGGTCTGTGATTTTGCGAAGCTTCTCATCGTGTTCAGTCACGAAGCTAAGCAAGGAAGTTCCTGGGCGCCTGGACAAGTTGAAGCAGGCATCAAAATCCTGGGGCATCCTGACACGTGTGTCATACTGAAATGCCGTGTCCAACATGGAAATGACCTTGTCAAACGCCTGGTCATCTTCAACCTTTGTCAAGTCATAACCCTCTACCAACTTCCATGCATTGCCCTGCAGAGAGCCGATCAGATTCAAAACTGATTCTGTTGCACGTTTCTGGAGCTTCATCTTCAAATGGTATATGTGGATTCTCTTTCGCCATTCCTGGTAAGAACCGGGCTGTCCATCAAACACAGGTATGTATGAATCCTTCGTGAACTGTGAATCTATGGTCGCGGCTGAAGCGGTGCTAGTCATTCTTGGGGTCAGAAATCAGCTAATCTTTGGGCACAAGAATCGTTTCAGAGATGCAGTAAATCAAGTTGATGGCACCAAAGTGCTCGAAGAGGTGATAGGAGGTGAGGTGAAGGTTGGTGGCAAAGTTAAAGAGATGAACTGCACTGGGTCTCCCAGGAGTCCACCACAAGTTGGTTAAACAAGGTTTCCAAAAAAAAAGTCAAGGAAGTAGGAGTTGCGCAGTGGAGCCTGGAGCTTGAGCTCCGCTACCAGTATCAACTGGTAGGGAGTCAGTTGTAGTCAAGACACTCGAAGTTCTGGACCAAGAAGTAGTTGCAAGTGCAGGCAAACGAAGTCCCTTTTGCACACGCGTAGCCGTTGGGGCTTTGCTAAGATCCCACCTTCTGGATGGTTGAAAGGAAATGGCCACAAGTAAATATGTGGCAGCTCTGATTGAAACTGACATGCGAAAGCAAATGCTAAATGACATGAGTGCATGGAGTGCATTCGACAATTGGCATTATCTGATCACTTGACATTGGCCTCTACGTGGATATGTCGCATGGTTTGCTTTTGGGAATGTCCTGCCATTATTTGACCTATTGACCCTTCAGGATTTTTGGTGGGTAGTATGTCAAACCATGAAAACTACGGACCAAATCAACCCTTTGCCTTTTTTCGGATGGTGAAGTATTGCTATGTATTGCTTCAGGGTGTGAATTGAATCATAGATGGTTGAGAATCAATGATGGAAAGGGGCCAGAAAACATATATATGCTTTGTATATGTATGAATCGACACAAAGGATTCCCTAAACAGTTATCATATATATCTTATATGTATATATTCTTTAGACACATTTCCAACCTTTTTCTGGATCTCTGGAATCCCATCCATCACATTTTCTTATGATAAATGCTCTGTCTACCCCATGCAGAGCTTGAAGCCAAGATCCAGTGGCCGCCAAACACCTGTGGATAACGGGCAGGAAGACCATTTCGGAGAGATATTGAGAAAACCCGAGGTTTGTTGTGAAAACCCGAGGTATTTATGGGGATCACGGGTAAACCCTGTGTTTATCGTTAAACCCGACAAATTTCTAGGGTTCAGAAGCTAAGGGTAGTTGTTCATGTTCCATCCTATACCGCGCTGGACGGTGTGCCCGCCTCCCCGAGGCCGAGCGGCCACCACCGCTCCTGCTCCACAACGACTGCAGCGAGTTGAGGGCCTCTACCCTCAACACATGTGGTGCGAGCAGGCGGATCGCGTTGCTGCCATGATTCTTGGCAGCATATAGGATGAGCGTGTGCCATGCGGTGCTTTTTCCCGAATGTGTAACGAAGGGTTCCCGTTTATAATCTGGGGGTCTGGGGGCTAGACCCTTGTTCGCCTCCAGTTGGTCGTCGCGACGTTTTTCGCGACGTTTTCGCATCGTTTTTCGTGTCGTTTTCGCGTCGTAAATTCCGTGTCTATGAGGAAAGCTGCAAAACATCAGTCTCTGCTTCTCCTTTGGCGTCGCCGTGTCTATGTGGGAAGCTGCCAAACCTCGTTCTGGCGTCGCCGTGTCTATGGGGGAAGCTGCAAACCGTCGTCTCTGCTTGTCCTCTGGCGTCGCCGTGTCTTTGGGGAAAGCTACCAAAAAACGGTGGTTTTGATGCGCTGACATCGCCGTGTCTATGGGGGAAGCTTGTAGTCAAAGGAAGTTGGGAAGCAATACTTCCGAGTTACGAATGACTTTTACTTGATGGAATTGACTATGATGAAGGGTGGTGCGCGATTGAGACTTGACCTTGATGAAGGGTGGTGTGAGACGTTACACTACATAACAATACATCAGAAAAGAATTGACCTTGATATGGAATTGACTATTATGAAGGGTGGTGTGAGACTTTACACTACATAACAATACATCAGAAAAGAATTGACCTTGATATGGAATTGACTATGATGAAGGGTGGTGCGCGATTGAGACTTGACCTTGATGAAGGGTGGTGTGAGATTTTACTATAACAATACATCAGAAAAGAATTGACCTTGATGAAGTGTGGTGTGAGACTTTACACTACATAACAATACATCACAAAAGAATTGACCTTGATGAAGGGTGGTGTGAGACTTTGCACTACAGAACAATACATTAACAATACATCACAAAAAAACTGACCTTGATGAAGGGTGGTAACAAAGGGAGGTGGTAGGAAGGGAATGCTGCATAAATGTTGAATGGGGGATGTGTTGGGGAGGAAGCCGGAGCACGAAACCTTGTATTTTTCCGTGTAAAGTGGCTGCAGCCGGCGATGAAAGGTACCTCGTGTGTGCGGCGGTTGCGGCTGCGGTCGGTCCGGACGCGATTGGTTCCTCCTCTGTGTTCTGCAACGAGTGGTTGTTCCATGTTCTGCCTGTGTGCGCGGTTCTTTGCGTTTCTTGAAACTGTGGTTGCAGATCGCATTGGAATGGCTGCATGAATGTTGCATGGGCTTTGTTTTGGGGAGGAAGCCGGAGCAGGGCTCTGGAGTGACGGCCGCTGCAGCCACCAGAGCGGTGGCATGTGGCCAAACCCTTTGAAACCTGCCAAAACGAGGATAGATATGATTATATATATATATGTATGTATATACATATTTATCTGTTTGTTTATTCATTGAGCTGCTCTGAAACGAGGTCTGTTTTGAGGATGAAAAAGAAACTTGGGCATCTCAACAGCAATTTAAACTTGCATGAACATGGGTCCATGACAGGATTTGGATGCTTGCCAAAAAACTGCTGGATCCTTTCCATCAACACCGTTCTCCTTCGCAGGAGGCTTGCCTCCCAAAACCACAAATCAAACCAGGCATGCGAATGCATCAGACACATACAAAATTTAATCTTGGTGCCATGACCCTCTGCGAAACCCTTGCTATGGCCTGCAAGCTCTTCGTCCAAAATTTCAACCACTTTGCCTTGCAACTCACGCACGATCTTCTGCCGCATCTGGGATGCTGTCTCCTGCATCAATCGGGCAGCAATGGTTCTTCTACTGTGTGAATCTTCAAGCAAGGCTGCCAAACATCTTAAACTGAAAAGCTGCCCAATCCTGCAAAACAACAGGTTGGGAAGATGGACTCTCTGACTGCATGCCCTGCGCACATGCCTCCGGATCCTGAGCAGGATTGAAAAATATTTGCATGCAAGAACTCACATACACTGCGACAAATTTGTGCTTGTCAACTGTCCAAGCTCAAATGATTCAATTGAGACTCAATGCCCCATGCTTTGCCAATGTCATCTTCTGCAAACGGTTTCATGATCTCGAAGAGCTCCAAGACATGGGGTTCCGATTGAACCCACAACGGCCAACTCTCGTCCTTCTTAAAGGATTCACGGGCCTTCCACGTCTTCCTAGCAAACCTGAGAAATGAAAGGATTCTGGGTTGCATATGGGGTGAATGCTGAACTTGTATGAGCAAATGGATTCATACAGCAATAATGAAGCACACTGAAGGTTGGCACAGTTTGGATGCGTTTTCTTTCCGTTCCAAAAAATCCTTACATGAGCAATGTGGAAATTCAGTGCAGCCTCCTAATAGACTCCTCGTAACATGTAAGAGCTTGAGGATTGGCATCGAAGCGCAAAGTCGCTAGAGCTGGCTGCACCTTGGCCATCAGGACCATGGTGGTCATGAGCACCAAATGGTGCAGGGACGCGGCGGAGAATGGATTGGAGTGAAAAGGGATGGATGGATTGGAGTGAACAGGGTTGACCATCCTGTTATGTGGATCAACAGGACTTGCATGGCGAATGAAGATCACAAAAAAGATCAATGAAGATCAAAGAAGGTCAATGAAGAATGGCAAAGAA